TCATAGGCAAAAGGGAGGGGGGATGGAGTGAAGAACTCTTGGGGGGGGTGCACAACATTTGGAATGTAAACAAATAAAGCAATTAACCAAAAAAATTGAGAAATTTAAATTAAAAAAAAAAAAGGCCAGGAGATGCCTGCCTATAATCCAACACTCAGGAGAAAGAGGCAGGTTGATGATGATAAGATCAACCAGAAACACTGGACAGAACCATTCTTAAAAACACAGGGCTGAGCCGGGTGGTGGTGGCGCACGCCTTTAATCCCAGCACTTGGGAGGCAGAGGCAGGTGGATTTCTGAGCTCGAGGCCAGCCTGGTCTACAGAGTGAGTTCCAGGACAGCCAGAGCTACACAGAGAAACCCTGTTTAAAAAAAAAAAAAAGAAAGAGAGAGAGAGAGAGAGAGAGAGAGGGAGAGAAAGAGAAAGAGAAAGAGAAAAAGAAAAAAATTACTTACCCTGTCTCGAAAAACAAAACAAAAAAAAAAAAAAGAAAGAAAGAAACACAGGGCTGGAGATGTAATTTAACAGTATAGTGACTGTTTAGCATGTACAGGCCCAAGTCCAGCTCTTAACACCACACACAGGCAAGGAAAGCAACCACAGGCAAGAAAAGGCATGCACACACACAATCAGGAATAGACAGATGATATTTTCTTTTCAGGAAGGCATTGAATAAAAATTTTAAAGTATAACTAGATACTTTATGAAGTGTGTTACACTGTAAAACTTTATAATATTTACAAATAAATAATATCTATCTGTGGAGTCTGCATGTGTGTGTTATGGAGGCCAGAGGTTGACATCTGGCACCTTCCTCTATTTCTCTGCACCTTATTTTTTATTTATTTATTTTTTTTGTTTGGTTTTTCGAGACAGGGTTTCTCTGTGTAGTCCTGGCTGTCCTGGAACTCAGAAATCCGCCTGCCTCTGCCTCCCAAGTGCTGGGATTAAAGGCATGTGCCACCGCCGCCCGGCTTATTTTTTAAAATATATTTTGTGGGAGTGTTCCTCCATGTAGAACCTGTGGAGGTCAGAGGAGGACGTCAGATCTTCTAGAACTGGAGTTACAGATGGTTGTGAGAACTTGGTGCTGCATATCAGATCATCTCTCCAGCCCACCTTAGTTTTTGAGACAGGGTTGGTTCTCACTGAACCTAGAGCTCACTGGTTCAGCAAGACTGGTTAATGAGCTCTGTACTCTGTCTCTGGCACCACATGCTTCCCCCCAGTGCTGGGCCACAGCTGCACACCACCACACAAAGCTTCTGGCATTTTACGTGAGTGCAGGGAATCCCAATTCAGTCCTCATGCTTGCAAAGCAAGTGCTTTACTCCACTGAGCCATCGATGTAAGTTTACTTAAGAACATGAAATAGAGCAAAAGACCTATTTCTCCTTCTCAGAAGGACAACGCTTCCTTGGAAAGGATAATCATACTCTCCTTACTGGCACAACTAAAACTTTTACAGAACAGTCAACATACCCATTCCTGGATGGTACTCTAAAAGATACAAGCTAGGCAGGCCCCTCGTTTTCCTATGCCCCATTTCAATGCTCTACACACATGCTTCATACCTTGGTTAGGTATGCTCCAAAGCATGCCTGCTGTATTTCCTTCCTGGTTAGACTTACTGAACTGAGCATGCTATAGGACTATGCCCTCCTTTGACTTGTTTTCCTCTATGAATGTATGTATACAGGTCCCCATATAACATCACAATGCCTCCTTTGTCAGCAATGCCTCCTTTGTCAGAGGATATCGATTTGAATACAAATGTTTTCCTTACCTACTACAGAAAATACTTACTGATAAAGAAATGAAATTTTTTAATTTAAGTACATTTTTTAATATACTTACCACTTCTTTAAGCTTTGCTTCAATCTCCTCAGATGTTAGTTTTTTGCTTAATGGTGTTTTCCTTAACAACATGTCACAGTAATTGGCAAGCAACTCAGGGCATTTTGACTCAGGCTGAGTTTTCAACCCCACTCTACAAAAGAAAAAGTAGCTGTCCTTTACTGGAATACTACAATCACCTAAACATCTGCCTGAAAAAGGATCTTTGTCTCCACAGCAGTGGTGATGGAGACTTGGCAATGGCACTGTATGTGAGAGAACCATGAGGACACAAACAAGGACATATGTTAACAGTGGGTTTGCCTCACTCTGCATGGGAAGAGGTAATCACTTTGATCCAAGAATGAACTGAGTTGGCTCAAACTGAGCTGTACTTGTGCTACAGGTCTCTTCCTGCATGCACCTCATTCCAGTTTTTCTCAGCAGAAGCACAGGCCTACCATCAACCACTCATTTCCTCCTCACAGTGAGTGCCTAAGTAATCTGGATACTACTACAAGTTTACTCTTAGTGGTAAATTAATCACTTGATTTATCACTATGATTGCCAACTTGATTTCACTGAGAAACACCTGTGTTAGTGAAGCACACTGATGCACTGGTGTGTCTGTGAGGGTGTGTCCCACTAGGACTAGTCTCTGGTTGTATCATCTGTTATGGATTCAAACTGTGAAGAGACTACTGGGCCATGGCCTCATTCAGGAAGTAGGTCACCAGGTCAGGTGCAGGCATGGGCATCCTTCAAGGCTGTACCTTCCCTGGCACATTTTTGGTGTAAATATTTCCTATCATCTGTGATGTAAGCTGCTGTTACACCCTCCCTGCCATCATGAGCTGAAAAAACAAATAAATCTTTGCTCCTTCACATTACTTTTTTTCTTTATTTGTTTGCTTGCTTGTTTGTTTTAATTTTTTACAAGGTTTCTCTGTATAGCCTTGGCTGTTCTGGAACTCACTTTGCAGACTAGGCTGGCCTCAAATTCAAGTGATCTTCCTGCCTCTGACTCTGCAGTGCTCAGATTAAAGGAATATTCTTGTATTTGTTTTAAAGACACGATCTACATAAAGTCCAGGTTGGTCTCAAACTTAAGATCCTTCCACTGTACTCTCAGGAGTATTAAATTAAAGGAACACATCACACACCAGACTTCTATGAAATGCTAATTTTTAGCTATAAACTGTAAGAAGGGATGCTGTGCCTAAGTCAGATTTATTAGAAGTCCAAATTCTTTTTATAAGACTTATTTATGTAAATATCTCTATCTAGGCATCAGATCCCAGAATAGATGGCTATAAAGCACCATGTGGTGACTGAGAATTGAACTCTCAAGACCTCTGGAAGAGCAGACAGTGATCTTAATCAATTCACTTTATGGAGAGACATACTTTCCTTTTAACTTATGGTTTCAATTTAGTATAGAAAAGTAATGAGTTCCTTTTACCTATCTAATGAATCCCTTTATTTGTATGTGTGTGGTGGGTATGTGGTGGTCACACGGCATTTACAGGAGGTAGCTCTCATCTACCATGTGGGATCTCTAGGACTGAACTCAGACTGTCTGGCTCTTCATCAGTTGAACCATTTTGTAGGCTCACTAATAGGCTTCATTTTGACATTCTGTGCATCCCCATCCCTGCTCCAACAGTCTCTCTTTCTTCTCAGGCTAGTCTCTCTCTTCTGCCTTCATGGTATATGCATTCCCTTACCAATTCCCCTGTTTACTTCCTTCTGAGCTGGAGATCAAACAAGGGCCTCATACTTGGTAGACAAAAGCTCTATTAAGGAATCGTGTTAAAAATGGTAATTCGAAGTTCACATTTAAACTGATTTCCCTTTTTATATCATGAGAGTAAAGTCATTTTCTATGCTTTCAGAATAGTAAACTTTTAGTGACTACTAATAAAGGAAAACCAGGCAGAGATTCTAAAGACTTGGAACAAAAGGTATTTTCTAACTTCAAACAAAGTAGATTTTCTAACTTACAACAAAGTAGATTCAAAAAAAATTCTTGTTGAAGAATTTTAATAGCAACAAGTAGCAAAAATTCTAAAAACAACAACAAAAGCCAGAGTAAGGTATGCAACACAGCACTTCTGAGCTGGAAGCAAGGAGGCACACACGCATACACATTAAAAACAAAAAAATTAAACAGAAAACAAGAGCAAAGGACATAGGTTGGTTGGGAGATAGAATATTTACTAGCAAATGCTTAGTATACAGAAAGCCCTGGATTCAATTCCCAGCACTGAATAAACTAGGCACAGTGCACTGCACCTGTAATCTCAGCACTCGGAAGTAGAGACAGGAAGATTAGTAGTCTTTCTTTTAAGGTCCTCCTTGGCTACATAGGGGGTTTGAGACCATTCAAGGCTAGAGACCATGTCTTAAAAACTAAACAAAACAATAACAATTAAATTTAAAAGCAAGCCTATGTAAAACCCAAACAGAAACAGTGCCCCATGCTCACTCAGCAGCCCAATAAAGTGTAATACAGTCCCCCAAACTTGAATTATTTTTTTAAAAAGTACTTTAAAAGCTTACCCTTTTTGCTTCAAAGGCAATTCAAGTTTAAATATAGTAGCATCATTAACAACTGCTTTATATGCCTGTAAAAAAAAAACAAAAACAATTTGGAATGAAATGAGATTTAATATTTTAAATAAAATATAGAAACTACATGTTCGATGATACAAGTAAATCTGAATCACATATTTTTCTCGGTTTATTTATTTTTTGTTGTGCTGGAACTGCATGAAGACTGGAAAAATACATTCACTATTACTGAGTTTTATCTCCAACTCAACTTTTTTACTGGTATATCTCCCCTTAATAATTTTTTTCTCAGTAATTTTTTAAAATAAATCATTACTATTGGGGCAGAGGCAGGCCTAGGACGTGCCACGTGCATGTGCTGAGGTGTGGGACTCTCCTCTACTTTTAAGTGTTCTAGAGAAAAGGCATCATGACAACTGATTCATCATCCTCTAAGCTACCCCACTGATTCCCCTCCCAGGGGACTGTTTCAAACGTTCCAGCACATTCCTTGTCACAATGTAACCACCATTATCCTATCTAGCAGTATTCTCAAGTGAGGTCGTAACCTTCACTTGCCCTTGTTCAGCTTCCTAAACAACATTTTGTTCTACCTCTTTTCTCCTACAGCTCTCAACATTTTCTTTCCAGTGTCCATCCTCAACAAACGCTATGTTCTCCCATGTCACTGAGAAAGTTGTGACAGTAAGAGAAGATGTAATGCTAATGCCCCCACGGGATACAAAGACAACTAACTTTAAAGGAACTCTCACTGGAGATCCACCATGGGCAGAGGTGGCCCAACAGGTAAAGGCAGTTGCTGCTAAGCCTGATGACCTCATTTTGAGAGAACCATCTCTTAGAAGTTGTCCTCAGATACAGCTCAGTATACACATCCTCTCTTACCCACCCCCTCACCAAAATAAATAAATAAATAAATAAATTGTGTGTGTGTGTGTGTGTGTGTGTGTGTGTGTGTGTGTGTGTGTGTGTGTATTAAAGAAAAAGTATCAGCCAGAGGGTGGTGGGTGCATGCTTTTAATCCCAGCACTCAGAGGCTGAGACAAGTGGATTTCTGAGTTCCAGACCAGCCTATTTACAGAGTGAGTTCCAGGTCAGTCATGGATACACAGAAAAACCCTGTCTAAAAACAAAACAGGACAGGGACAGGGGACAGGGGACAGGGGACAGGGACGACAGGGACGACAGGGACAAGACAGGACGGAGGGAGGGAGGGAGGGTGGGTATGGCTTTGCTTAGGATGAGCTATGAAGAGCAGCAGTGTAGCAAGGCAGGTCTTGAAGAATGAATAAAAATTCAACCACCAGGAACCTTCAAAACACAGGAAAACATCCCTGGAAAAATTAAGGAGGGAAAAGCTTCCTGATTGAATCCTAGTTCACAATGATACAAAAAGAAAGACTAAGCCAAATGTAATAACTATTACATTTTATTGCTGTGCTCTACAGAAAATGAGAGTTCCCAAATTCTTAGTTCTCAACTTACACTATGATGCCCTGCCCATTAAGTCAGCTTTAATACAAAACGTCCACAAAGAGAAACGTCACCTTATCTCTTGCGGTAAGGAAACGAGGGTCATCCTGAAAAGCTTCTTTGACCAGTTTACTGAATCTATTAAACAGCGTAAGCAACTGCTCCACATACTTCTCAGAGTCCTGGAAACAAAAGGGTTTCACAGCAGCTTTTAAAAGAAAATACTATTCTAATAAAAGACTCAGACTTAAACTTAGGGAAAATTGTTTTCTTAACAGTAAAGCTGAACAGTGTTACCAATTACTATTTTGCTGTTTCGATCACTATTGTAGATGTGACTTTGGATGTTACTGCCATTGAAGGAACTTACAGTGGTGATGGTTTCAGCAGCTGCCACCATGTCTGCTAGGCCAGCACTTATGATGTGCTCCTCCAAGTCCTTCAACATTGGCTCTATCCCATTAGGAACTTTGTCCATCAATGAAAACATCAAATGTAACTCTGAAAAGACACAACACACTCATGTAATTACTTTATCCATAAGAATAAAATTCTTTCTTGATTAATGTCTGTGGCCTTCTGTTTTTTATTTTGTGAGAGGGTCTCACTACATAGCCTTAGCTGACCTCAAACTCACAGAAACCTACCTACCTTTGCCTCCCAAAGTGTGTGGCACTAACGGCAGCTATGTCTTCAGTCGTAAGACCCTAAAGAAATGTTACTTGGGAATTTGAAATATATTATTATTCTATGGCTAAAATTAGTCTAAAATTTAAAAGAAAAGTTTTGTTTGTTTTTAATTGTTGTTTTCAAAATAGGGTTTCTACATGTAGCCCTGGTTGTCCAGGATCACACTCTACAGTCCAGGGTAGCTTCAAATGTGAGATCTGCCTGCATCTACCTCCTGAGTAATCCATCTACCTCCTGAGTAATCCAACTAAAGGTGTGTGCCAGCACTGCTGGGCCGGATAAACATTATTGACATACATACAGGAGGAAATGCACCTCCATCTACAAGAATGACCTAACAGTAATTAATTAGGTGATGTGCTTAAAAGGTTCTGTCTTTGTGAGATTTTACCTACTTTCAGTTTCATTTCGCTTGATCATTCCTTGGCATTCTGCTAAAATAGTCTCTTTAAATGAGGTCACCAGCGCATTCACACAGCATTCCATGAGCTGTAACAGCAAGAACAGTAACAGCTACTATAAGCACACTAATGAGTCAAATCATACTGTTGAACAGAAAAAAGAAAAGTACACTGAAAGTAGACTTTACCTTTATGCAGGAATGCTGTTAATGTATGGATCAATAAATACACCACACTACTTTACCAAAGTAAAGGAAAAAACCCACAGAACATAGGTTACATACAAACTTTGGCTAACTTCTCTTACCTGGTGAAATCTGTATTAGAATTTTAATTCTACATATGATCCAAAAATACATGAACATTCAAAAATAACACACACATGGTTAACAGCCTCTTGCCCAATACAGTAGGAAGTTCTGCCCCACCTGCTGAGTGATGTCACTCACCACAGACCTGAATACACTCACTCAACATCCTCCCTTTAAACACTAATTAATTCTAACAAGTATTTTCTATTTTATATGTGTATGGGTGTTTGTATATCAGAGTACCACTCCCACTCCTGGTGCACAAGGAGGCCAGAAAAGGGCATCAGAATCCCTAGAATTGAAGTTATAAATGGTAGCAAGCTGCCTTGTGAGTTCAGGAAGTGAACCTGGGTCCTCCGGAAGAGCAACCAGTATTTTCAACTGCCAATCCATCTCTCCAATCCTCACAAGTAATCAGCAGCCTTATAAAGCGTCTTCTTAATACTATGGAGACAGGGGCTGAGTAAGGCATGGTGGTATATATCTATGATCCCCTCACATGGGAGATGGCAGGGGGTCAGATCAAGATTCATAGCCATCCTTAACTACACAGGAAGTTAAGAGGCCAGCATGTGCTAAGTGAGGCTAGAAAGTGGGAAGGCCAGTGATGAGAGAGGCCAAACTGCAAAACTAAACAGCTAACTCACAAGGACTGGTGCTACAGCTGAAGACAGGAAGACCCACTAAGATATACTTAACAACTTATAAATTACAACGTATTTGCCTGTTCTGTTTGTTTTTGATGTGTGTGTGTGTGTGTGTGTGTGTGTGTGTGTGTGTGTGTATGTGTGTCTGTGTGCTTGCACAGTATATAAATGTGTGGGAATGAGACAGCTTTCAGAAGTTAGTTCTCAAGCTCCTTAGCAATTCTCTTGCCTCTGTCTGCCATCTTTGCCTTAGGAGTGGTGGGATTACAAATGTGTGCCACTGCATCTGGCATTTTACATGGGTTTTGGAAATTGAACCCAGGTCATGGGGCTTTCGTTTTTAACTAATAAGTCACTTCCCTAGAAGTTTTGTTATTTTTAAAATATTTTATACTTAGTTGTTCTGTAACAGGACAATTCAGTTGCATAACAAGCACAGTACCCACAGAGTTACTTCCCGAGCCCCAGAGAGTAATTCTGATCAATGCATACCTGTTTAAATAACATACAATGGCCTTATCTTATAAGTCCAAGCCTAGCTACAAATTTCTATAAAATTTTCTACAAACAACCACTAAATTAGCCCTCAACTTTTCACCTTTTCTTTGCCATTATCAAAATTACTTTAAGACTGACACTCAAATATACTATGAATAATCAACAAGTAGCCTTCTTCAAGAAAAAAAACATGTTTGAAGACGCTACTCAGTGTTGTATCTGAACAAAGAAGAAAATTAGCACAACTATCAATCAGGACAGAAAAACTCAAGAAAAGGTCATGAGTAAAATCCCATTGATCTATTTTTTACCTATGTATAGAAGATGTGTTTTTGATATAAGTAAAACATATTTAAAGAGGATGACTACAGCTGAAATACTGTACACTGCATGCCATAAAGGTTAGAGTGCAGAGTAAAATACCTTTGCAGATGTACTTTTCTCACCTAGGAATAATATTATAACCAGTTACCAATACTAGTTAAAGACATAACAAAGAGGAGGCTGGAGAGATGGCTCAGCAGTTCTGAGCACTGTCTGCTCTTCTAGAGAATTCAGGTTCAATTCCCAACATCTACATGTTGACTTACAACCAGCAGTTCAAGACACCTAAGACCCTCTGATCTCCAAAGATACCAGACACAAACAGTCCATACACACCTACATGAAGGTAAACCACTCAATAAATGAAATAAAATTAACAGTAAGCGCAACAACAAAGAAGTGATGTCATTGGTGAGTTTGTCATCCCTGTGCTACATACAGGACTTTAGACAGTCCCAGAAAGTACACAATCACATTACTTACTGCTTCAACAGAGTTACATTCTCGTCTTGTTTCTAAGTATCGGAGTGCTCTTTTTTCTTCTTCTTTTAATTTAGCATCTGCCTGTCCAGAAGCAAAATAGCAATCATTTTAAGTCTATCAGCAAACTAGTCAAAATTACAAAATGCACTGAATTCTGACTTACATATTTCATGTAATTCTGCACACCATTTTGCTGTAAATATGAGGGTGCCTGTGTCCTGTAAAATCTCTCTGTTGAGTCCAAGTATGCCTTCTCAAAATTATCCCTATATATCTGAAGCTTGTCCTCAGGATTAGAACAAAGATTAACTAAAAGACAGAAAATAAAGTTGCTTTTATTATTTTTGAGTATTTTAAGAATGACAGATGAGCCGGGCGGTGGTGGCTCACACCTTTAATCCCAGCACTTGGGAGGCAGAGGCAGGTGGATTTCTGAGTTCGAGGCTAGCCTGGTCTACAGGATGAGTTCCAGAACAGCCAGGACTACACAGAGAACACAGAGAAACCCTGTCTCGAAAAAACCAAAAAAAAAGAATGACAGATGAATAACATACTGAGGCATGGTTATGCGAGTCTAAAAAAGCTCCAAAGATCACAGCACAAAGCAGTAAACTAACAATTATAGTCATGTAGATATTTTATTTTTTAAAAGAAAAGAGATTGTATTCTGAACTGATGATTTTAACTGAATCTGCAGGAATAAACAAGGATTTGCATAGTCAGGATAAGAAAATCAATACCCAGTAATGGAAGTGAAGAACAACTGTGGAGACTCAACTCTGAATTTAGCATGAGATACCACCAAGCAGAAGATGTGGTATGATGGTTGAATAGGCAAAGGTACTTGCTGTCAAGGCTGACAGCTTGAATTCAATCTCTGAGTCATACAAGGTAGAAAGAACTGAAGCCTGAAAGTTGTTCTCTGATCTCTACACACATACAGCATGACACACACATGTCTATACACAAATAAAAACAAAATAAAAAGGAAAAAGGGGGGCTACAGATTACAGTTTATTTGCAGAGTTTAGACACTGCACAAATAAGACCCAAGGTTTAATTTACAGTACTGGAGAAAAAAATTAATTGTAAGAGGATCATTTCAAAACTCTAGGTGGAGAATTTAAAGAGGTCTAGACCAGTAGCAGATGAAATAACAATTTAATGATAATAGTAAAGAAAATATAAAGACTTAATTAAAACAACCAAAATAGGATAAAAACATTTTTTAAATTAATTTTTTATTGGATATTTTATTTACATTTCAGATGTTATCCCATTTCCCCTTCCCCTCCCACCCAGAAACCCCCATCCCATCCCCCCTCCTGCTTCTATGAGGATGTGCTCCCAGTCACCCATCCACCCACCCCCACCCTCCCTGCCCCCAAATTCCTCCACACTCGGCATCTAGCCTTCACATGAACAAGGACTTCCTCTCTCACATATGCTCAACAAGGCCATCCTCCCCTACATATACAGCTGGAGCCATGGGTCCCTCCCTATGTGCTCCCAGGCTGGTGGTTTAGACCCTGGAAGCTCTCCTTGGTTGGTATTGTTGCTCTCCCCATGGGGCTGCAAACCCTTTCAGCTCCTTCAGTCTTCTCTCTAACTCCTCCATTGGGAACCTCATCATCAGTTCAATGGTTAGCTGAGAGCATCCACCTCTGTATAAGTCAGGCTCTGGCAGACCTCTAAGGAGACAGCTATATCAGGCTCCTGTCAGCATGCACTTCCTGACATCCACATCAGTGTCTATCTTTGGTGACTGTACATGGGATGGATACCCAGGTGGAGCAGTCTCCAGACGGCCCCTCCTTCAGTTTCTGTCCCTCACTTTGTTTCCATATTTGCTCCCTTGAGTATTTTGTTACTCTTTCTAAGAATGACCAAAGCACCCACACTTTGGTCTTCCTTCTTCATGAGCTTCATGTGGTCTGTGAGTTTTATCTTGGGTATTGGGAGCTTTTGGACTAATATCCACTTATCAGTGAGTGCATACCATGTGTGTTCTTTTGTGATTGGGTTACTTCAGGATGATATTCTCTAGTTCCATCAATTTGCCTAAGAATTTCATGAATTCATTGTTTTTAATAGCTGAGTAGTACTCTATTGTGTAATATACCACATTTTCTATATCCATTCTCCTGTTGAAGGACATCTGGGTTCCTTCCAGCTTCTGGTTATTATAAATAAGGCTGCTATGAACATAGTGGAGCATATGTCCTTGTTATGTGTTGGAGCATCTTCTGAATATATGCCCAGGAATGGTATAGCTGGGTCCCCAGGTAATACTATGTCCAATATTCTGAGGAACTGCCAGGCTGATTTCCAGAGTGGTTGTATCAGCTTGCAGTCTCACCAACAATGGAAGAGTGTTCCTCTTTCTCTACATCCTTGCCAGCATCTATCACCTGAGTTTTTGATCTTAGCCATTCTCACTGGTGTGAGGTGGAATCTCAGGGTTGTTTTGATTTGCATTTCCCTGATGACTAAGGATACTGAACATTTCTTTAGGTGCTTCTTGATCATTTGAGTTTCCTCAGTTGAGAATTCTTTGTTTAGCTCTGTATTGCATTTTTAAATAGGGTTATTTGGTTGTCTGGAGTCTAATTTCTTGAGTTCTTTGTGAATATATATTAGATATTAGCCCTCTATCGGAGGATAAAAACATTTAAAAAATGACTTAAAGTTCATTACTTCAACAAATAGATTTACTGAAGATTATTTTGTGTTAGGTATACTAATTCTGTAAAATGAAGCATCAGTAAGAGCCTTAAGTAAACTATTACTCTAAGGAGGCACAATTACTACTAAGAGCCATTAAATGTGAGGACTTAACCTAGTCTGAGAAGTAGGAAGGGTGAAAGGAGGCGTGCAGATAATCTGAAGGTGGGGAAGCATCCTCTAAGTCAGAAGAGACAAGGATGTGAGTAAATAAATCAAAACGTCATTGTGAGAAGCTGAGAAGACAGAGAGTGTGCACAGAAACTTAACTTCTGAAAACATCTATATAAAACAAAGTTTATATAGTTTAGGGCACCAGAAAGTTGTTAACCAAGAAGTTAATAAAGGGGAACTTTGAAAAATACATTTGAATTTAGCAGGTTTCTCTGACAGAATCAATATCATTTGTATAATATTGAAATTAAAAAGTATATGGTAGAGAAAGTACATGGGAGTCTGACTGAACTATAATATCCTAAGATTTCCAGGATGGAAATATGAGTATAAACATTGGGAACATACCATAGGACTCTCGCACTCCTATGACCAGCTGGGAATCAAACGCTTCCCCTAATCTCTCAGCATGCACCAGCTTCATTGCACTATCCTGGAGTCTGTTCTTTATATTTGAAAAAATCGACTCATTCCACGTATCAAGCATGAGCTGGGAAAGAAGACAATACAGCATCATTTTCAGTGATTAACATCTCAAGTATCGCACACACAGGGCTCAGGACAAATAGGAGAAAAGGAAATCCTATCACTAGATCTGCAGTGTTGGGTCTTCGAGGAAGTCACATATTTAACCCAATAGTACAGAACTAGGGCCAACATGACGACACACGCCTTTAATCTAAGCACTCAGAGGCAGGAGGATCTCTGAGTTTGAAGTTAGCTTGGTCTACATAGTGAGCTCCAGGACAGCAGGAATATATAGAGACTCTGTCTATATAGAGAAACTCTGTCTCAAAAATCCAAAAAACTGAAAAACTAATTCTTTCGAAAAGAATTTGGTTCCTAGCTCTGCTATTTATTTCTTTTCCCATGTGCAAAATACTAATAGCCAAATTTCTAGTGTTTGCCATAAAAATTAAATATGGTAATATATGGAGAACTGTGTTTAGAATGTTCATATGCATGTCTGTGCAAACGGTCTTAATAAAAATGTGTACATCTCCCTACTACCTAGTTATCAAAATTGTAGAATAAAGTATATTTATACTAGTAAACAAAGATTGATGCTACAAGTCACTTTGTCAGTTATTAGTAACAGGAGAGTGGCGACAAAAAATAATAATAATAATAATAATAATAATAATACTGTAACTCTCACCACATACCCTGGACTGCACTGTGTATTTTCCACAGATAATTAATGCAATGCCAACAGTCCTAACATAGGAACTACTTCTCTTTGTATGGTGAGAGTTGGGGCCCAGCAGGCAGTACTAACATGCCCACGTCTGAACCCAACAAATATCCCAGAAACAATGCTCATTTAAACCAGCAAACCTCACAGCAAATTTTTAAAAATGGTAAAAAATGAAAGGAATAACAAAAAACAAAAGAGGGTAAGATTATGGGCTACACATTAAACAGTATCTTCAAAGGTGTTTTGCCTTTAAAAAGAAATGTTCCCATTTGCAGCAAATTCTAGCACTAAAAACCATGTATATCTAATTTTATAGTATCTTCACATAAAGCAAATTTTAAGAGTAGAATGGGATGGTAACACCCAGACACACAATTCTGATATTGGTCTGTTAACCTAACCATCACGGCAGACAGTTTTTGAAATTCAAATGGCAGTTTTTATTTTTCTCCTCTGGTTGAGTCTGCGGATGTGGCTCAGCAGTAGTGCTTATGCAGCATGTGTGTGCTCACACACGGAAGCTCTGGTTCCACTAGTCAGAAGGTAATTGGTAAATAGGTATAGATAGCAATTTAAAAAAAGTGACATGCCGGGCAGTGGTGGTGCATGCCATTAATCCCAGCACTTGGGAGGCAGAGGCAGGCGGATTTCTGAGTTCGAGGCCAGCCTAGTCTACAGAGTGAGTTCCAGGACAGCCAAAACTACACAGAGAAACCCAGTCTCAAAAAAAAAAAGTGAGACACGTGACTAGTCTTTGTTCAGTAAAGTAGAGGTAGTTACCGGACACGGGTTTATAATTAGAAAACATGCACTATTTAGAAATAAACACAGTATGTAACAAGCTCAAACCAGCATAAAGTAAATATAAAGATAACAGCTGGTTAGTGTAATTAAACTGAAAGTTAAAAGAAATGGTTTTCCAAAGAAAAAATGAGTAACTAATTCACAAGAAAACAAAGTACAAAGAAATAACACAAAAAGATACTGAAGATAAAACTAGGAAAAGCGACAAAGGGAAAGGGAGACTGAGGAGGGCAAGTCTGAAAACAGACTGCAGTCTGAGAGCAGATACAAACAAAGAAAGCTCAAGCTAACATTTATGAGTACAATAAAAGTTTCATGGAAAAAACAAATCTAACAGCTATAAAGAGTCTACATGTGAGTAGCAAAGCCTCCATAAATTAAAATGAACACCTTCTTCCTAAAGACATTTAGGGCACTGGGTGACATCAGGAAACAGGGTAAGACACATACCTTTCGAACAATACTGTCTTCCATATTTGATTTTTTATTGCTGCTTTGTTTACCCAATAAAGTCACCTCTAGTTGACAAAAAGGTTTTGGTAAAATATCACACTGTGTGAAAAATTTTCGCCATTCAACAATATATGCCTTTAGCAAAGCTGTGTCATCTTGATGGCTCAGTACACGCTGAAAAACAAAATTATATCAACTTGAAATGAACTTAAAACGAAAAGTAAGAACAGTATGCAGTTAAGCAATAATTTTAAAATATATGATTTATTGTACAAAGTATTATATCTAAGAGAAACTAAACACATGTCCTAAAAAATATTCTGTACATAAATGTTCAGAGCCACATCATCCGAATGTAAACCAGGCCTTTAATTCCAGTAGTTGGTAGGCAGAGGCAGGAGGATTTCTGAGTTCATGACCAGCCTGTTCTACAAGGCAAGTTCCAGGACAGCCAGATCTACAAGATAAACACAAAAAACAAAAGTAACAACAACAGAAGTGTCAAGGCCATTGTCTGATTAAAGCAACTTAATAACACGATAAGGCAACTCAACCCAAAGTACTTGGCAAAGGGAACGCAGCGGAGTTCTGAAAACATCATCCCATGTAAAGACTGATCATAAAAGATCAATCAGTTTATGAAATCCAAGAGCAGACAAACTCAGAGGTTGAAAATTCATATGTAGGGCTGGAGAGATGACTCAGTGGTTAAGAGCATTGACTGCTCTTCCAGAGGTTCTGAGTTCAATTCCCAATAACCATATAGAAGCTCACAACCATCTGTAATGGGATCTGATACTGATGCCCTCTTCTGTGTGTCTGAAGACAGCTACAGTGTACTCATATACATAAAATAAATTAATCTTAAAACTAAAAAGAAAGAAAGAAAAAAAGAAACAAAGAAACAAAGAAAAAGAAAGACAGACAGACAGACAGTCCATGTGTAATGGTTAACAGAGTTTGAGGAGAGAAGTAATGGACTGTCTGCCTGTTAACAGCCCAGGTTTTCAGAGGTGGTAAAAGTGTTCTACAATCAGTGGCTGAGGCCACATACACTGCAGCACACACTTAAGGGAAGTATTTGGTTTCTAAGTTTTTGTCTGTCTTCCTCACTCCTTTTGTGAGGCAGGGTCTCACTGTGTATCCCTAGACTGGCCTGGAACTCACTATGTGGGGCAGGCTGGCTTCAAACAGACATCAGCCTGTTTCTGCCTCCTGAGTACTGGGATTAAAGGTGTGCAGTACCACATCCAGTTAACAGTAAATTTTATGACATGTTAATTATTTCTCTTTGCAGGGATGGAATTGGTGCTGAAGTTATACCTAGAGCTTAAAAATGCTCAATAGAGTTCACTTTTTTTTTTTTTTTTTTTTTGGTTTTTTGAGACAGGGTTTCTCTGTGTAGCCCTAGCTGTCCTGGAACTCACTCTGTAGACCAGGCTAGCCTGGAACTCAGAAATCCGCCTGCCTCTGCCTCTCAAGTGCTGGGATTAAAGGCATGTGCCACCACTGCCTGGCGAGTTCACATTTTTTTAAAAGGTGGTCCTTTATTTTCCTACTGCTCACATTGGGTTGATCTTGTGACCAGCTTTAACCACACAGAATGTTGACACTGCAGTGTGGCATTTACACACCTAGACCTGAAGAGATCTTATAGGACCCACAAACACTGTCTAGGACATTTTCCCTAAGAATGTGAGATCACTTGTTCAAAGAAGAAAGCAGCACTGAGTAACAGGCATTTCATTATGCTCACTTGGACCACTGACTGACCTTGCAGACCAAACTACCAATGCATTAATAAGCTTGGGTGAAATTAGTTGAGGTAAGCCCACATTAATAAACAAATTATGAACAAATAAATTAGTTGTATTGGGTTGGTTGGTACAGTTCAGGGGTAGATTGCTTGCCTAGTTAGTATGTGTGGGATGATGGATTCCCCAGAACTGAAAAATAAATCAGTAAAATAAAATGGTTAGGTACTCTTTAAAATAAAATCAGGCTTGTAAATGGCTCACAGGTAAAAGTATCTGCTGTCAAATCTGACGACCTGAAACAAACATGATAGAAAAAGGAGACTGACTCCCATTGGGTGTCCTCTGACTGTCACAGGCATACTGTGGTTCACAAGTGTATATATATACACACACACACACACACACACAAAAACAAAACTATAAAAACAAGTTTAAAGAAAAAAACTTTTCCTAATAATTTCTCATGCCCTAACTTCTTTTGGCTTGTTTTTCAAGATATATATATATATCTTATATAGTATATATAGTATTATATAATATATTATATATATTATATATCATATATAATCTATGTTAATAATCTGATTCTTTATGATCCTACTTTCAGAAATTAAAGTGTAAACTTTGTTAATTTGAAATAAACCAAAATCATTACATTAACAAATAAGCTAATGTTTGCTAGGGCACAGGTTGTAGTACTTAAACCATTTAATTTTCTAAGTAAGGCTTTAAAATAGAATTTCTCTGTGTAGCTATAGCTGTTCTAGAATTAGTTTTTCAGATTAGGCTGGCCTCAAACTCAGAGAGATCCACCTGTTTCTGCCTTCCAAATGCTGGGATTAAAGGTATACCACTATCACCCCAACTCCTAACCCCAGGTAAACCGAGTTTTCAGTAAAGTAATTTCTTATGAAATTAAGTTTTCAGTAAAGTAATTTCTTATGACATTATCACTTTAAAATTCTACCATTGACAGACATTAGTAGAGTGTACTTTTAATCAGAGCACTCAGAGGCAGGCAGATCTCTGTAAGGTCAAGTTTGAGGCCAGTCTGGTCTACAGGGTGACAGCCAGGGCTACAGAGTGAAACCATGTCTCAAAAATCCAAAACAGACAATAAATAAATAGCTGGGGAATAAAAAGTTCTGGCCTTATAGTTTTCAGATTTAATTTTATATGAAGAAAAGTAATCTGCTCTTCAGTTGTTTCTCAAACTGGTAAGAGATACACATTTATTAGTGATGTCACATTTACTCAGAAACAACACACCATCTTTGCATTCGTCTTCCCCCCCCCCAAAAAAAGATGGTGTTAATAAGAACTTAACCAAAATAATACTTGTGTACCTAAGTAAGATTTGTCTTCATTACAGCAATACTAGAAACTTATCTATCAAAACCTGGGTGCTGACTTCAGCTCAGTAGCAACAACATAAAATGTAACTCCAGAACTTTACAATCCTAAAAGAGAAGTATCTGAACTTGAAGGAAAGTTACTTCCCACTTGAGATGGTCTTAGTCCTAAGGAAAAAGGATCTGACCTGTGTTGTATCAAGCACTGCAATAGTCTGTAGTTTCCCTTAGGGAAGCATCAGCTCTGCTGAGAAGCCCCCGACTCTGAGGTCTACAGCAACTAGGTATATTCTTGCCTTAACCTCCCAAGTATTAAGGTTTCAAACACCTGCTACTATGTATAGCTTATGTGGTGCTGAAATCTGAACTCAGGTCCTTTTACATGCTAGTGGTACCAATTGAAGTATGTGTCCTGCCCTCTTATACAATCTTGTAATTGAGGATAATGTTCTGTTGGCAGAAATAAGGGAAAGCTAATGACAATCACTTCATTTCAAAATATTACAGATCCATCACAAGTTACTGTGAGGGCACTCATTACCTGAAAGCCTGACAACCTGAGCTCCATCCCTGCAGCCCATGCATGTACAGGGAGGAGAGAACCGCTTCAAACCTGTCATGATCTCTACACCAACATTACAGCTCATACTTCACATACACACACACATATACAACAACAAATGAGTAAAAGTATTTTTAAAGTTATTGTGAATTTTTAAATTACTTCAGGAACTTCTGTCTTCAAAATCATAAAATACAGCTTTATATATTATGCATGTTCATGTATGTTGTGCAGGTATTCATGAATACACATAAACATACATGTGTAGGCCAGAAGGGGTTTTGAGGTTTTCTTCCTCAGGTGTGCCACCTACTTTAATTCATTCTCATTCTCTCTCCTCTCTCTTCTCTCTCTCCCTCTCCCTCTCTCCCTCTCTCCCTCTCTCCCCTCCCTCCCTCCCTCCCTCCCTCCCTCCCTCCCTCCCTCCCTTCCTTTCTTCCTTCCTTTCTTCCTTCCTTCCTCCCATTCTTTTCTTTCTTTCTTTCCTTTCTCTCAACTAGTTTTTACTGGGCATGGTAGCACACATGTTTAATCCCAGCACCAGCAGAGGCAGAGGCAGAGGCAGAGAGGCAGAGAGGCAGAGAGCAGCAGAAAGGCAGAGAGGCAGAGAGAGGCAGAGAGGCAGAGGGGCAGAGGGAGGCAGAGGGGCAGAGAGGGGCAGAGAGGGGCAGAGAGAGGGGCAGAGAGAGGGGCAGAGAGGGGCAGAGAGGGGCAGAGAGGGGCAGAGAGGGGCAGAGAGGGGGGCAGAGAGGGGCAGAGAGGCAGAGAGAGGCAGAGAGGCAGAGAGAGAGGAAGAGAGAGAGAGGCAGAGAGAGAGAGGCAGAGGTACAGAGGCGCAGGAGGGGCAGAGAGGGGCTGAGAGGGGCAGAGAGGGGCAGAGAGAGAGGCAGAGAGAGAGAGAGGCAGAGAGAGAGAGGCAGAGAGAGAGAGGCAGAGAGAGAGGCAGAGGCGCAGAGGCAGAGAGGTGCAGAGGGGCGGAGGCGGAGGCGGAGGCAGGTGCCCCTGTGAGTCCAAGGTAAGCTTGATCTATGTAGTGTGTACCAGGACAACCAGGGCTATGTAGAGAAACTCTTGTTTCAAAAAAAGAAAGAAAACAAAAAACTAGTTCTCACTGGCCTGGTAGGTTGGCTGGCCAGGGAACCACAGGGATTTTGTCTCCACGTGCCCAATGGTGAGATAACAAATAAATATCATGAAATAATAATAATCATAATACTCACTTATTTATGTTCATGGATGGGTATATCCCCACAGCATACATACAGAGAGGTAAGAGGACAACTTTTACCTTGTAGGTCCACCATGTGGGCCCCAGATAATAAACTCGAGTTTTGTCAGGATTTATGGCAAGTACCTTAATCCACTGAACCATCTCACTGGTCCACACTTGGCTTTTTCTAAACTTGAGTTCTGAGGATCAAACTCCTATCCTTGTGCTTGCAAGCCAAGTACTTTACTAAGTGGACCATCTCTCCAGGCAATTTCCATATTTATTTTATTTTTAATTATGTGTAGTTGTGTATGTATCAGATGTGAGTGAAGGTGTCCATATGTTAGAAACATTGGCCCCCTGGAGGCAAGTTACAGGCAGTTTATGAGTGTTTGATATGGGTGCTAGGCACCAAACTCCAGTCCTCTGCAAAAGTTGTATATGTTCTTAACCACTGAGCATCAGATATATAGTTTTTAAAAGCAATCCAAGGGGCTAGGTATGGTGGCACATGCCTTTAACTCTAGCTAAAGAGGCAGAGGTAGGCAGATCTTTGACTCTGAAGTCAGCCTGGTCTCCACAGTGAGTTGCAGGACAGCCAGAGAGCTATGGTGAGACCCTGTCTCAAAAGCCAACCAACCAAAACATACAAACCAATCTAAGGATGAGGCTGTGGCTCACTGATCAGTCCATTCTTATTTATTAGCCAAGCGTCTAAGCCTCTGGAATTGACACCCAGAACTAACAAGAAAAAAAAAAAGTAAAACAAACACGGAAACTATGCAGAACTTACTGCCTGTGCTTGCTTAATAAACTCAAGGATATCTTCTTTTAAAGCCTGATGAATTTTTGATGAGCCTTTATCATCCCAGAGACAGACAGCATGTACATCCCTGTAAAAATAAAGCAGATGGGTAAAGATCAGTAGTGAAACACGACCTATATAGACAAGCATTGATCTTAAGTTCTACGTTAGCACAGCTCCCATGGACCACTCATAAGAACTAAGCACTCTTTGGAAGGTACCTCAGACAGGTAACTTTCTATTATTTCCACTGTCGTTGTTCTTTTTTAAAATTTATTTATTTATTTATTTATTTATTGCTTTTTTATTGTTTGTTTATACAGGGTTTCTCTGTATAGCCCCTGCAGTCATAGAACGTGTTCTTGTAGACGAGGCTGGCCTCAAGCTCACAGAGATCCACCGACCTGCCTCCCCAATGCTGGCATTAGAGATGTGCATCACCACCTCCCTCCTGACTGCTCTCTTTCTTATTTCTCTATTTGTTGTATAGAAATGTATGAAAAGCCAGTTGGGGGTAGCACAAGCCTTTAATGCCAGCACTCAAGAAACAGAAACAGGTGGGTCTCTGAGTTCAAGGTTAGCCTGGTCTACAAAGGGAGTTCCAAGACAGCCAGGGTTACACAAAGAAACTGTGTTGAAAAACAAAACAAACAAAAAATCAAAATTATTACAAAAGTATGCCTCTGTCTCCTAATCTCTATCCCTAAAGTTAATTGCTATAATTTTTTTGTTATCCAGGAGTGTGGTCCATGGCTGCAGTCCCAACACTGGGAAGCAGAGAGAGGGGGGCCCAGAAAGCTTGCACAGTCAGCTAATTTGGTTGAACTGGTGAGCTCCAGGTTTAGTAAGTAAAAGACTTTGTTTACTCCCTTCTAACTTGTCAGTCTTTGGCTTCTGCATACACAAGGGCAAATGCATGCACATGCGGAACACACACACACCCCACTTCTGGGGACCGAATTCAGGTCCTCATGCTTGCACTGCAAGGACTGTACCTACTGAATCCTCTCCCTAGCCCCTGACTAAACTTTGGTTGTAATTTTTCCCAGCTCTACAACTTGGTATTGATCTTGTAAGGTTTTGAGTATGTACTATTATTTAATGTGTCTATAATGTAACTTAGTATCTTTTTCAATTGCAATGTACACTTATTCTTAGAAGTTGTAAAATTTGGGGATTTTAACCTGACCAATTCAAACACTCTATGTCTTTCTAGTTATGTTGTAATGCTATACTTCTTTTTTTAAAGATTTACTTATTTATTATGTATACAGTGTTCTGCTTACAGAGGAGGACACCCGATCTTATTATAGTTGGTTGTGAGCCACCATGTGGTTGCTGGGAATTGAACTCAGGACCTTAGGAAGAGCAGCCGGTGCTCTTAACCTCTGAGCCATCACTCCAGCCCGTAATGCTGTATTTCTACTTAAATAAATACTTTTGTTCTCATAGCTCTGAATAAATTAAAAAACTGATACTCAGCACCTGGGAAGATGAAAGTTCAGGTAAAGGAACGATCATTAGGCTGTGCATTTTCAGAACTACTGCTGAAAGCTTTTCCCTCTTCAGTGAAAATGGTCAGAGTTGATTTTCTAAGTTGTTGTGAATGCTTTCCATTCAGACATAATCATACCTATTGGCACTGCCTATGAAACAGCCAAGACAACTCCCACTTCTTTCTACACTTGCCATGCAGAAAACTTGCAAACTTTGCTCACTTAAATGGTGTGACAGGTAAGCAACACTGAGACTAACACAGAACAGCCACCTGATGCCAAGGCCTGAACTGAATTAGCTGGCTGAACTGGGAAGCCCAACATGGATAGCTTCCCAACACTGGTGGAATCATTCACCTTCACTAACCAATTTATTTGGCTTTGCTTGCTAACAAAAATGTGTCCACTGGAATTAAATAGGCTTGTGTACAACGCCCTGACCTTAGATACTATAGATTATATAGCCCTGGAAGCTTTAGGCGCTGTGCCTAAACTAATGTTTCAGGCTTTAGCTACGTTCCTGTTCCTACCTTCCCACACTAGTACTGGGATTAAACCAGGGTCTTGTCCTTGTTAAACAAGTATTCTACCTCTAAACCAAAAGTTAATTTTTAAAAAAGGATGTGGGGGTGGGGATGCTACCAAAATGGCTCAGTGATTAGAAGACTCATTACTCTCCCAGGACTGAGTTTCAGTTCCCATTAGCCACATGGAGGCTTACAACTGCTCACAAGGGATCTGGCATACTCTTCTGGCGTCAAAGGGAACCAGGCATGCACACTATATACTTATAAATATGCTGGCAAAACACCCATACATATTAAATTAACAGTTCACATAGAAATTGAAGGAGAAAACTATTTCATCTAGCTTTCTAAGGTAAACTTTGTGGTAAATAGGTTGTTGCTACACTGTCTCATAGGGACTTCTAGTCAATAACTGTTCTCTAGACATTTAGCCAAGGGCTAAGCAGTAACGAAACAGACCTGAGATTCAATTCCTTAGAAAAATTTGTTTGTGGGGCTGGTGAGATGGCTCAATGGGTTAAGAGCACTGACTGCTCTTCTGGAGGCCATGAGTTCAAACCCCAGCAACCACATAGTGGCTCACAACCATCCGTAATGAAATCTGATAGGGTGTCTGAAGCTACAGTGTACTTACATATAATTAAAAAAAAAAAAAGTCTGGAGGGAGCAGGGGCAGGCTGGGAGTGGGGCTGGAGCAAGAGGGAAAAGGGAAGGGAAAAAAGAAAAAAAGAAAAAAGAAGGGCTGGAGAGATGGCTCAGTGGTTAAGAGCACTGACTGTTCTTCCAGAGGTCCTGAGTTCAATTCCCAGCAACCACATGGTGGCTCACAACCATCTGTAATGGGATCTGATGCCCTCTTCTGGTGTGTCTGAAGACAGCCACAGTGTACTCATATACATAAAATAAATAAATATATATTAAAAAAAAAAAAAAAGAAAAAGAAAAAAATCTGTTTGCCTTAGACTGGAATCTGAGGATCTTACAAGCCTGAACATACAAGGAAAAGGCACATGAGTTGAAACTGGAAGACTTAAGGGGGAGATTAATGCACAAATTTCCAAAAGTCCTTTTCCAGGGGATTCACATGGGGCATTAATTTTTTTTCTTAGATTTGTTTATCTCATATTATGTGTATGAGTACTTTGCTTGTATGTGTGTCTATGTAATGTATGTGTACTTGGTACTGGTAAAGGACAGAAGAGAGTGTTGGATCCCATGGAGATGGAGTTAGTGAGCCACCATGTGGGTGCTAGGAAATGACCTCAGGTCCTCTGCAAAAATAACAAGTGCTCTTAAGTGCTGAGCCATCTCTCCAGCCATGTATATCCAGGCTTGTAAAGTCAGGGAATCTAGACTCTGACTTGGGAATCTCCAACACAAGCAGTAACAATACACAGGTTTTCATATCACTTAAATTCATAATGCCCATCCAGTATGGAAAGCCACCAAAACCCACTCTGTTAACAGAATTACTGGATTACTTACGAAAACAGATCAAACCACTGCTGTTTTGTTACAGATTCCTGGCGTAAAAGCTTCAAAACAATTGGACGCATGAAATCCCATTTGTCTTCAAACTGGAGAGAACCTTTATTCTTAAATTTAAAAAGAGATAAAATATGGCTTAATTTTAAAGCAATTAAATACAAAAGTCTCACATACTTTTATCTAAAAATATATATCTCTTTAGAGATGCCCAGGTCGGCACACCTTTAATCCCAGCACTTGGGAGGCAGAGGCAGTAGGATTTCTGAGTTCAAGGCCAGCCTGGTCTACAGAGTGAGTTCCAGGACAGCCAAAGCTATACAAAGTAACCCTGTCTCAAAAAACAAACAAACAAACAAACAAACAAACAAAGAGATGCCCAGAAAAATAAAGAGATCAACTTTAAAACAAATAGCTTTCCAAAATGGAGTTCTTATAGGCTTATAAGGGAATCAGAAATAATTATAAACACAAATCAGGGCTGCAGTTATAGGTCAGAATTATAGCCTGTGCATGTGTCTCTGGGGTCAATCCTAGGAGGAGGGGGAAGAAAGACAGCAATACTAAGACTAAAACTGAGTCCAGACCAGTCAGTGTACAGGGAAGAATTTGTTACAAAGAGTTTGGCCTTTCCTCTTGACTCCTTCTGGAAGATAATCCCTGGACAAGTGGAATGGGAACCTAAAATGAACCTCAGGTTCTGTGTAAGGAACAAGCTAACAAATGTGGTTTTGGTAAGGGACTGGTAGAGTCAGCATGGTCTCAAAAGTGGGGCTGGCCAATTTAAAAGATTAACAATGTAATTTAGAGAAGGGCTTTGTGTCAATGTAGAGTTCAAAGTACCCATGCACATAAACATTCTCGTCTTTGTGAAGAAATTCCACACTAATTGGCCAAGAAAACAGTTAGATTAGCTTCCTTAGGCATAATTCATATATATTGTCATACACTGACTACAGGGAGGACAACAGAAGCTGTACTTGGGACCTCCTAGACTCCGTCCTATGCTTCTCTCTCAAAAGCTGATCTTGAACTGGGTGTTGCAGCTATGAAACAAATAACAGTAATTATGCCAGCTTGCAGTAAAGCCTGAGTCTTTCTGGTGTTGAAATGAATGGGTATCTTACAGAGAGACTTAATCCTCTAATTTTGTAGCTGTACTAAACTCTTCACACTGTAAAGCTGTCAGCTGAAGAGATAGCTCAGCAGTTAAGAGCACTTGCTGCTCTTGCAATGAACTGGATTTAGATCCTAACACCCATAGTAACTCACAACTCTCTGTAACTCCACTTCTAAGGGATCTGATTCCCTCTTCAAGCTTCCAAGGACACCAGCCATGCACATAGCGCACATACATGCATGTAAAATATTTGTCCATAGAAGTTTTTTTAAAAAACAGGAGGGAGGGAGGCTGGGTGTGATGGCAGAAAGAGACAGAAGTAGGTGAATGTTTGTGAGTTCAAGGCCAGCCTGGTCTACATAGTGAGTTCTAGGACAAGCTATAGCTACAAAGATCCAGTTCAAAGAAACAAAATAAAACAACATTATAAACCTACAAAAGCCTGCCTGGCAGTGGTGCCACTCACCTTTAATTCTGCTGTACATTTGTGGTGTTTTGTTTTTCTCAAGACAGGGTTTCTCTGTGTAGCTCTGGCTGTTCTGAACTCATTCTGTAGGCCAGGCTGGCCTCAAACTCAGAGATCCATCTACCTCCCCAAGGGCTGGGTTTAAAAGTGTGGGCCATCACCATCCAGCTTACTTATAATTCTTTAATATATCATGTTACATTAATAATTATCAAATGACAAGGAAAATATCTGTATACATTTAAAAGTCTAATTTTTTTAAGTACTTTTGATCCATGGTTGGTTGAAATCAATGCTAAAGGAAAAGGTTTCATCTTACAATGCTAATAAAATCTTCACATCAAATTTGAGAGCAGCACAAGACACAAAGGAAACATATATAAAGATTTAATAAGCATTATCAAACTGAACAAGTATATCAAAACACTAGTTCATCCTAAGCATCTTGTCCTATAACAGTATCTTACTAGGAGGAAAAAAACAACTTAACTAGTCACGGTACCAGACAGAAAGAGGGAACAACCTCATATGTACCAGTAAAGACAACTTAAGTAGTCACGGTACCAGACAGAAAGAGGGACAACCTCATATGTACCAGTAAAGACAACTTAACTAGTCACGGTACCAGACAGAAAGAGGAACAACCTCATATGTACCAGTAAAGACAACTTAACTAATCACGGTACCAGACAGAAAGAGGGACAACCTCATATGTACCAGTAAAGAACTTAGCTCCTATTCAGGCTAAATGTATTTTATTTATACAACTTGTTCTGGCCAATAAAATGCATTTGTTTCTTTTCTTTTTTGACTGCCCCCTCATTCATTTTCTAGTATTTTATGAAACTAGTATTTTCATATTTTATGAAACTCATGGTTTGTTTTTAAATACTTTACTTTTTACAATTATCCCTATTTCTTTTGTGTCTTCCTATGTGGGTGTATGAGTGCTATGGCGTGCATCTGGAAGTCAGAGAACAGTTTCTGAATGCAGGTTCTCCTCTCCCATGTGGGCTGCAGAGGACTGCACTCAAGTTATCAGGCATAGTAGCAACAACTTTATTAGCTGGTCTGACTTGCCAGACCACACAAATGTTTTTAAGGATACTACCTAGTCTAATCATTTATACAGGGTTCTTTTTGTTCTATTTGTTGATTTTTTATTTTTCAGTAGCACTGGCTGTCCTGGAATTTCCTCTGTAGACCAGTCTGGCCTTGAAACTCATAAGAGATCTGCCTGCCTCTGTCTCCCAGTACTGGGATTAAAGGCATAAGCCACCACCTCTTATCACAGGTTCTTAACCTGATGTTCACACACTGCATGAAATCTGCAAACCTCCTGAATTACACTGCAGAAACCATCTTTCAACATATCCTCTGACAACCTACATCATACCTTATGTCCCAGCACTTAGGAGGCAGAAGTCCTGAGTTCCAGGCCAGCCTGATCTACAAAGCAAATTCCAGGACAATGAAAGCTACACAGTTAGACCCTGTCTAAACATAAGAACTTAGATAAATTGAAAGGTTAATTTTGTTCTTCTCAAGGAACTAGCTAATGAGTTTAGCAGATTTGTGATCCCAAAGTATACATTATATCATAACCTTATGCCCGGCTTCCTAATTCTTTTTCTACTGTTATCATTCTCCTGTAACTTCATTTCTCCTTCTAAAAAAAAATTGTTTTATTTATGTGTGTGTCTGTGTGTATGTCTGTGCATGTGTGCAGTTGCCTGCAGAGGGCAGAAGAGAGCATTGGTTCTCTTTGACCTGAAGTTATAGTTAACTGTAAGATACAATGTGGGTGCTGGGAACTGAACCCAGGTCATCTGCAAGAACCAGTGCTCTTAATTGTTGAGTGATCTCTCCAACCACTATCCCTCTTTTTGAAACAAAGTTTCACTATATATCTTAGATGGCCTAGAATTCACCATCAAAAGCAGGCTGGCATCAAACTCAGAGATCCACCTATGCCCTCCCCCCAACCCCATACACAGTGCATGCCATCACACTCCCTGCTCTCTCTGCCCTTCCTTCCTGAAAGGGGTGTACAAATATACAAATTATGGAAGGAGTCTTATAACTTCCTGGCTCTAGCAAAATAGATTCATAATCTCTGAATACTTTTCAACTAAGACATTCTACACAGGCACTTTTGGCAATTACAAAGTTAAACAATGTAGTCTTACAATCAAAATTCAAGATGCTACAAAGTTTGCATGATGGCTCAGTTGGTATATACTTGCCTTACAAAAATGAGAAGACATGAGTTTAATTTTCCAGAACCCCTTTTTTTTTTAAAGGGGGGGGGGCCGGGCGGCTGGGCACTGAGAGGCAGGAGGCAGATCTTTTTGAGCTTGAGGCCAACCTTGTCTACAAAGGCAGTCCAAGACAGTCAGAGCTGTTTCACAGAGAAACCCTGTCTCAAAAAAATAAACAAATAAACAAACAAATAAATAAATCCCAAAACCCAAAAAACTGAGTATGGTGGCGTTTGTATAATCCCAGTGTTATTGAAACAGTGGCAGGTGTATCCCTGAGACTCCCTCCCAGCCAGCCAATCTAGGTTAACTGGCAAAGTCTAGGCAAATGAGAGCCACTGGCAAAAAACAAGGTGGACAGCTCCTGGGGGACGACACCTGAAGTTAACTCTGGCTTCCACATTCAAACATATGCATCTCTACATATTTGCATATGCAAACACACAGTATCCATTCTTCAAAATTCATTCCAATTCTCTCTTCCTAGCTTTCTTTAATCATCCCATCAAAAATATTTCAATATGTAAGGTACAAATACCACATAGTAACATTTCTGAAACTTAATAGAAAACCATCAGTACAATCTTCTTGAATATGACAAGTTTCCATAAAGCACGGGCATTATTTCAATTCCTTAGGGTACTCTTGCATGTTGGTGTCTAATAAACAATTTTAAGAATGAGTAAATTCTAGACACTTAGAATTGCTTGTTTGTACTTTGATTTTCCTTCTTTCCAAATGATTAAAGTTTCCACTGAGAAAAAGCTGGGCCTCCTATTTCTGTTCTTTTTCAGTTTCTTGTTAAAAGATCCAACTGAGACGGTTTCAAATGGTTGGCACTATGGACCATAGCTAAGCAAGAAAGTGATAGGGTCAGAACTGTATTTTGATCTAGAGATCAGATTACCACTAAGAGATAAAATTATGAAAGAGGTGTCATGACTGCACCAGAACAACAACAAAATACAAAGCTAGAAAGAGCCGAAGATTGAATCCAGAGAAATAATTTGGATGACAGTGAAAAACAAGTGATTCGGGAAGACAGTAAAAATAAGGAGAAAAAATCACATAAAAAAAGAGAAACAGCAGAGAACAAGTAATGATATCAGACAAGAGGATGAACTTTATCAAGAAGAATCTGGTTTGGCAATCAGGATGTTACTACTGTTCAGGCTCTTACATCTAATCTGACAATTTCAAGGTAACTGAGTGGGTCAATTAAGGGAAAAGAGGGCTACAAAGGGCCCAAGGGCAACGTCTTAGCAGAGTATAGGTTTATACAAGAGATACAAACCTTCTTATAGTTAGATAGGGGAAAAGAAAAGAGTAGTAGAAGGGAGACACCAAGTTCTGGAGGACACTGCAGGTGAAACACAACAGGTGGAGGGCAACCTGAAAAAGAGGTATGGCACTATGGAGAAACCGGAAAGACGTGTGGTAGTGGCCACAGCAAAGAAATACATGTGCAAATTGCTAGTTAGTGTGCTAGGAACTAAGGAGTGAAAACGTTTGAACAATTGCCATTTGGAGTAGGAGAATCAACTGAAATTGAAGAAAATGAGCACTCTGGGCTCAGATGACAATTGCAAAAGAAAGAGAACAGGTAAAATTAAGATCTAGTAATCCAAAATGGGAGATGAAATGGTACTGTAAGATTGCTAGGAATGTCCTACAGCTAGAAGACATACATTTGATAACTGTATGTCAAAGTGCACGACACACATCTTTCTATACTCAACAGATTGCCAAGATCCAATGACAGCTCACTTGGTCTAACCGGAAAACATGATCCCAAATAAAATAAACTGCCAAATAAAAGCAGGTCTTATTGCATCAGATTCTTAGACATTTCATAAAGAAAGTTTCTAATCTTTAATTTTCTCAAAATGAACTAGTAGTTATTTCTCTGAATTCTGTCAACTATAAAAACAAAACAACCCACCCCAAAACAAATGAAACAAAACAAAAATACCACCTTTCTTCAAGTCACAAGTAAATTGGGATATACTCTTTGACGGGATTCTGGCTGATTACTCAGCATGTTTCAGGTACAGTAGGTGATCCGGAACTGACTCAAACTGTATTCTCGTCTGGCTTACATTTCCCCTTTCTGACCAATGGACTAGCTAATTTTCTCTTTGGTAAAATCTACCTGCAGAAGTCCAAAGCATTTCTCTAATAAGCCAATATACTGATCTAACAAGAAATATGCTAATTTGGCCACTCCCCAGTAAATCCTATACTCAAGGTAGCAACAGCCCTGAATTTAATAATCCCGTAAATTACATCACAGACAGACCCTGGCAAGTCCTCACATATTCCAAAGACAAACTTCAGTCTCCCCATTTTATTATTAGTACTTTTCAAAATGTGAGTATTTGGAATTCCTCTTCCCAAAAGCTCCAACAACCCAAAATAGGTAAATGTTTGACAATGTAGACAACAGAATCAAATGTCTGTTTATTATATCTTTTATATTACAACAGTACTAGTTATCTAAAATCAAGGCCAGGCCTGGTGGGGAACACCCTGAATCCCAGCACTCTACAAACCTCTCTGAGTTCAAGACTAGACTAGTCTACATAGTGAGTACCAAGGCCAGCCAAAGCTACAAAGATCTGCCTCAAAAATAAATACACGAATAAACAAATAAATCACATACTACACAACACTCATTTAGGACATCTGCTTTCTTTCCATAGTCATTATCTCATAAAACCATCGTTTTGAAAATCCGTATTTCTGGCGTCTGACTTTAGTCACTGGGTTTTCCAACGTATTGTCATGAAGTTACAGTACTTCTTTTTCTTTCTTGTTTTGAGACAGGCTCTAATTGACAGTCCTAGCTGGCCTGGATTCAGAGATCAGCCTGCCTCAGCTTCAAGAAGGCTGGGACTAAGAGTATGTGCTGCCATGTCAGAATGCAGAGCTTTACACATCCCAGTTATCTTTGCTCCCAGCCCAGTCCGGTGGCTTGTCCATTACCCTCAAGTGGTGTTGCTGGCCTTCAAATCTCAGTGCACACAAAGGATCTCTGAGAGTTCGAGGTCAACTGGGTTACATAGCAAGTTCTGGCAAGCTGGGGTCAGTGAGACCCTTTTCAGGGAAGAGGGATCGTTTTCTATTAATATTCATTCACACAGCCTGAGAACATAGTGTTTATGTTCCCTCAGGTAATCACTAGCCCCATTTCAGCTAGTACTTTTAGGACAGAATTCTTACTAAAAACACAATCACCTCGTGTCTTCCTCAATCCTCACTTTTTAAACTGATGATACATTATTTGCCTGCCCTGGGCCTCTCCTGGCATTTAAAACTTTTCAATGCCTTCTTTAATGAAAACTTTTCTACATCCTAAAATCATGGTAGCACTTTATCGGGTGCCACCTGATGTCCCATCAGGGAGGTCGAGGTTGGGAGACAGTTCCTCAAGGAACAACAACAACAAAAAGGTGGAAATAGGAAGTCAAGCGTGAGAGAACTGGAGGGAAGGTGTAACATTCAGGAAAGGGAGAAAGGGGTGAAGTGTCTGACTCTGAGTTCCTGCACAATGTGAACAGAGATTAAGAAATGGGTTGGAAGGCCTAGCCAATGAAACCTGCTGGAAAGCATTTTTGTTGGGATTTTTCCTATTATGTCTTTGACACTCCATTCAGAAGAAACGGACCCCAAGAGTCACAATGGCGGGTTGGTGCGGGCCCAGCAACACTGCTCTGGATCCCAGCCTGGGTTGGTCCCTTGAAAGCATCACTCCGAGTCAGCCAGCCTGCGGGAGGAACAACCAGATCCTCTGGACCCCGAGGCCAGGGCCCGGCGTCGGGGTGCTCGGGCAACAGCCAACCCGGCTCCCGTTCTGGTGGACAACCCCGAAACACTCTCACATCTCGCCGCTCACACGGAGCCCGGTCCTTCCCCTGGAGCTGAGAGCGTCGGTCACCGAGCAGGAGCCGGGCTGCAGTCAGGGGCTTACCTTTAACAGATTAGACGTCGCCATGTTCTCAACTTGGACTCTCGCGAGACGCGGCGAGACTTGGCGGTGCTCGGGGCCAGGCCTCCTCGAGAGGCCGGGGTGCCCAGCAGGACCCCGCAGGCCGCGGCGGGGGATGCGGGGGACGCCGGAGCGGCGTGCCGTCAGCGCTAAGCTCGTTCCAGGCACCCGTGCTTCCTCAGGCTTTCCCGCTACATGGTCACCCCGGCCTGCCCACGCGAGAGAGCGCATGCAAACGCTTAAGGAGACGCGAGTGGCGAATGGTGGGGACAGGGAGCCGACCTGACCGGGAAGAGGTAGTATCGACTTCCCCGGGACTCCCCAACTCGTCTTCGGTTCTGCCTCTGGGGTTGCACCCGCCTCGGCCGCCAGCAACGACTTTAGCTCGGCTTAGGGCCCCGCACCTCGGGTTCCGTGGCGGCGTCACGTGACGTGACGGGCGGGGGCGTGCTCGAGAGCAACCCAGGCGACAGCAAGCCACTGGGTCCCGAGGCCGCGTGGAGGGTGGGAGCGCGCCCTCTGCTGGCCGGAGCCGGCGCAGCCCTCATGCGCTTGCCCCAGATCGGGATTGCTATTCAGAGCTCTGGATTAAATTAGCCTGGAAGGCTTTTTACTGCTGTCCTCGGTAAATGCTGACACGGAGAAGGCGCCAAGTAAATTATTTGTTTAGTGAATGATGCACAAATGTACTGTTATTCCGCTAAAAAAAATTACTGGGCTTGTTCAAGAAGTGATTTTTAGCCGAGCAGTGGTGGCGCACACCTTTAATCCCAGCACTTAGGAGGCAGAGGCAGGCGGATTTCTGAGTTTGAGGCCAGCCTGGTCTAGAGTGAGTTCCAGGACAGCCAGGGCTATACAGAGAAACCCTGTCTTGAAAAATACAACAAAACAAAAAAATCAAAATAAAAAACAAAGCCTGAAATCTCCTTTTGGCCCCAAGCATTTTAGGTAGCTTTGTTTGAATTCTGTTTGTATTCTTGAATGGCCAGGAATTCTCTATGTAGACCAGGTTGACCTTGAAATCACATAGATCTGCCTGCCTCTGCCTCCAGAGTGACTGGTGGGATTATTGGTATGTGCCTCCCTCCAAAATGGCCAAGAATTCCTTATATCTGCTTTGGGCTGGGTGTGGTGGAACATGCCTTCAATCGTAGCACACTCTTGAGTTCCAGACCAACTAGAGCTATACAGTGAGACCCTGTCTAAACAATATAGTGCTTAAAATGAGTTAAGATCTGCTACTTCGAGACTGGAGGGATGGCTCAGTGGTTAAGAGCACTGACTGCTCTTCCAGAGGTCCTGAGTTCAATTCCCAGCAACCACATGGTGACTCACAACCATCTGTAATGAGGTCCGATGCCCTCTTCTGGTGTGTCTGACAGCTACAGTGTACTCATATACATAAAATAAATAAATCTTAAAAAAAAAAAAAGATCTGCTACTTCTCAGACATTGAGTGCTTTACTTAACCACAGTGAGCCTTAGTTTCCTTGTTTGTGAAATTAGTATTAAAACATCTATATTATAGTGCTATTGCAAAAATTAAATATAAAAGTTGGAGAGGTGGCCCAGTTTTAGAGCACTGGCCCTCTTGCAGAGGGCCTGGGTTTGATTTCCAGCACTTACAGGGGCTCACAAGTGGTCCCTGTGTACAGGCGTCAGGCACACACATGGTGTGCAAATCTACATGCTGGCAAAACTCATACATAAAATTTTTTAAAAAAGTTAAAGATTAAATGACATTGATGTAAAACCATAATATATAATTTACACATATAGACAGTGTAATTAGAGCTAAAGTGTATAATGCTTACTATATGTAAGATATGATTCTAGGGCTGGAGAGATGGCTCAGAGGTTAAGAGCACTGACTGCTCTTCCAGAGGTCCTGAGCAACAGTGTACTCAAGTGAAATAAATTTTTTTAAAAAAGAAAAGGGAGTCGTATTCTGTTAAAAAAAAAAGAAAGAAAGAAAGAAAACGGACATGATTCTATACATTTTTGGTTTTGTTCTGTTGTTTTTTGAGACAGGTTTCTCTGTGTAGCTCTGGCTGTCCTGGAACTTGCTCTTTAATCATGTTGGCCTTTAACTCAGAGACATGCCTCCCTCTGCTGAGTGCTATGTGCCACTACCTCAGCTGACTCCATACATTTTAATAGATTAATATACTGAATGCTGGAATTTATCACTCATAGCAGAAACCTTAAATATTAATTAAATTTTATGAAAAGAACAGTGAAGAAGGAAAAAAAGCAGAGGATGCAAAAATAGAAGGGGGACTAGAGAGATGACTCTGGGGTAAAGAACACATGTGCTCTCTGAGACAGTCCCTGAGTTCTGTTCCCAGCACCCACATTTGGTGGCTCAAAACCATAACTCCAGTTCTGTGGGAATCTAAGGTTCAGGCCTCCGAGGGCCTTTGTACTCACATACATATACACTGAGAGATACACATACAACACACACGTACATCAGTTAATTTTGACATGCAGTAACTAGCTCAAAGATTGGGCACTCCTAAACCTTCCCCTGCTAGCAAACACTCCCCTCTGGTACTCTTGAGACTCCTAAACTTTCCCATGCTACCCGGGTAGCAAGTGGCCACTTACCTGATTTCTTTTCCGACTTCTTTTGTTTGGCCTTGCTCTCTTGATGCACTTAAATCCTGTCCTTCTGTTTCTCTTCATCTTGTCTGGTTCCTAGCCCTTGAAAATCTCAAGGTCCTGCTCTGCCCAGAACCAACTGGGGGCAGACTTCCTTTAGTCTATGGGCGGGACACTGCAAACAGGTTTTTTTTTTTTTTTTTTTTTTTTTTTTTTTGATAACACAATTAGCAAGAGAATACCAGCCAATACAGTTTCTAACCTTTGAGCTTTAAGTTTTGCTTCTGGAGTTTCATTAGCCTCCCTGCTCCCTTTAGGAAGAAATGTTTCAATAAAGTAGCTACACAACCTGCCATCCCTTTCTTTGGCTTATATTCTCTCCATCCTCACTTCTATGATACTCTCTGAGTTTATTGGAGGCTGGGGGTGGTACTGTAGGTACCTGATTATTTTCTTCCATGGGAAGCTGAACACTGGGCCACAGTTATCCTCAGGAGGTTAACTAACTGGTTAATGAGTCTCTGCAGTACACTGCAGGAAAAAGAAATCCCTCCAGGACAAACTAGGCTGACAGCGGCAGTAATTATGTGTATAATCACAAATGTTTAAAAGGCAATTTACTAGGCACATAATACTCATTTAACTATGCAATAACAGTTGCTTCTCCACTGAGGCCTAGACCTTCCCAGCCACTGACTTTTTGTCCTGGTTTACAGCACTGTGTGTAAGTTTTCTCTTGTGGTACAGACTAAAGTCCAATCCTAAAATTAGTTGTTTACACTCCCAACAGTTATGCCACTGTGCACCGAGGAGTGCATATCATTTCTCAGTGTAACATTAAGATCCTTATGAAGAACTGGGCAGCGGTAGCACAGGCTTTTAATCCCAGCACTTGGGAGACAGAGGCAAGGTTCCAGGAAAGCCCGGTCTACAGAGAGAGAGTTCCCGCACAGCCAAGGATACACAAGGAAACCCTGTCTCAAAAACAAACAAACAAACAAACAAACAAAAGCCAAATGAAGCAAGATTCTTGATGATAAGACAATCCTTCCCTATCAGCCTGCATATTGCCTTCAGGTATGAAAACTAGGAGGGAGTTTTGTGCTCATGTTCAGGCTGATTTCTCTTAAGTCCTTTCAGCCTAAATACTCAGAAATAAGGAATTAAAAACAGCCTTAAGGTTTAGGTTGGGAGATATTCCAGGGGACCTCCCTGTCCAAAAACTCTTAGGGAGGTAGTCCACTCTTGGCCTTAGTTATTTGCCCCCAAACCTTCCTGACTGGATGCAATGTCAGTACAGCCTGAAATAGTCCTATAATTTGTATTAATTTTGTCCAAAGAGCGTAACTCATTTGGTAGAGTACTTGCTCAGCAAGCACATAAAGCCGGTATAGTGGTGCTGCCAACCTACAATCCCAGCCCTTAGGAGGCAGAAGGATCAGAAATTCAGTTCATCCTCAGCTACGTAGTGAGTTCCAGACCAATCTAGGTTAAGTAAGACCCAGTCACAAAACAAACCCAGACAACAAGGTCAGTGTAACAGTTAATTTTGCTTCACAGGATTTAGAATCACTATGAAAACAAACCCTGGCATATCTATGAGGAATTTTCTAGATTAGGTTAATTGACATGAGGGTTTACTGGAGATCCTACCCTGAAGAAAAAGGGAGATGAAAGCAGGACTCCTCCTCCTGAGTGATCCAGAACGGCCAATGTCTTGCACTCTGGTAGCCATCTTGCCTTTCTTACTGTTAGATCTCAAAGAAACCTGGGGATAATTCCCACTCAGTAATGTGACTCCTCCCAGCTCCCCTCCCCCATCATAAACCTCTCCAAAGGAAGCTGTGGGCTTCCCTTCCCGCAGCAGCTGATCTCTGTTAAGAGCTACTTTGGCTACAAGAACTCTTGGTCTCTTGGTTCCAATGCACTCTCTTGGTCACCTTGGCCTCCTCTTCCATCTCTCTTCTCTTCCTCTCTCATTCTTCCCTCCTCTTCTCTCTTTCTCCCTCCTCTCCTCTTCCCGCCCCTCTCCCCTCCCCTCCTCTCTCCTCCTCTCCTCTCCTCTTCCTTTCTCCCCTTCCCTCCCCTCCCTTCTTCTCCTCTCCTCTCCAAGTTCAGTCTGCTGGCCATACCCAGTCTGGACTCTGCCAGATGCCTCTAGCTGACTTCTCTCCCATATCTATAGTAAAAACCTCAACCATAAGTAGGAGTAGTCATGTCCTCATTTTCATTTACTTACTGTGATAGGTTGTACCTTTGAACTGTGAGTCGAAATAAACCATTTCTTGATTTGTTGTTATTAGATATTTTGTCCTAGCAATGAGAAAAGTAACTAGCGTGGTTGGCTGTCCAGCCCGCCATAATCTACAGTAATTTTCCATGAATCTGTCAGCCTCTTCTTGCTGAGGTACTACTGTTTTGTTACTAATGGGTCACTATACATCTCAACTGATGGTGTCTCTAGGGCAGGCTTGGCTGCTTAACTTGGCTCAAGCCCAAGGAAGACCAGATTTCTCTTGTCTGTCTCAGCCTTCCTAGTGCTGGGACCAGAAATATGTCACTGCTCACAGCCACACATGGATTTCTCTCTTTGGTTTGTTTGTTTGTTTGGTTTGTTGGTTGGCTTGGTTCAGTTATTCGAGGCAGGGTTTCTCTGTGTAGCCTTAGGCCTGGAACTCACTCTGTAAACCAGGCTGGCCTTGAACTCAGATATCCCAGTGGAGTGCTGG